AGCCTACCAACCTCACGCACTGCGCAACACCCGCCTGAAGCCCCGCCCCTGGCCCCGCCCAGGTGGGCGGGGCATCACCGCCCTCCCAGAGGAGCAACTGGAAGAGGGGACGCTCCGGGGAGTTTCCCGCAGCGCGGGCAGCGGCTCGGTCCTCTGNCCGTCCTCTGGGTCATTGACCCGGCGGCCGCCGTCCGAGGCCAGCAGGGCCGGGCCTCAGGGAACATCCCAGGTGGTCACGAGGTGGGCGGGGGCCTGAGGCGCCCTGCTCGCGGGCGGTACCTCGCCGATCCTCTGAGCCCCACCCCCACTTTGCAAACGGGGGAACCTGGAGCCCCGAGAGCTGAAGTGACTTGTGTGAGGTCACACGACCGAGCGTGTCATTAGAGTTCTAGCTGCCCCCAGAGCCTTGCTTTCATTGATAAGACTAATCAGGCACAAGGCAAGCTAACCAAGATACGCCGTTAGGAGAAAAAATAGGCAAATTTCAAGACGGTATATATATATTATTTTGTTTTACCCAGTTTCTTGTAAAACAAAATAACAATAAGCAGGGGTGTGTATGTGTTTGTGTGTACATTTTTTAAATTAAGGAAGACTATACACTAACCGCTTATAGTTGTTGTTTTTCTCTGCGAGGTGAGACTTTCACTTCCTCTCTTTTGTTTGTTTGAAATTTTTACCAAGTGTATATGTTTGTAACCAGGGAAAGAGCCAATATCTTTGAGCCTTACTTTTCTTGTCTATAAAACAGGGACAGCTACAAAAGAAGTGTCTACCATGCCCAGTGGTAATGAAAATTTAACAAGATAATGTAAAACGCTTAGCACAGTGACCTGAACGCTTAGCATCAGTTCAGCTCAATGTTTGTTCCCTTCCCCTTCCCTCCAACTGTACAGCTTTCTGTATTTGTCGAAGCACAACTCAGGATCATTGCTGCTGCTCTGCCCAGACCCTTCCATCCAACTATATGGAAATTTAGGTCCAAGGGGGTGCTGATCTGCATTAGAGAAACCCCGAAAGGTGACACCCAGCAAGCCCAAGCAAGACAAGGTAGAGACTTGGTCCACCCTCTCTGCCTGCTTTACTTTTCTCCACTGACTTAAATAACCCCCAGACAACCTCCCTTGTCCCCCAGGGCAGGAAAGAAGAGCCACCTTTGACAACTGGAAGCACCAAACCCAATTCTACTTTGACTGGAATCTCAGATCATCAAAAGTCAACTTGGGAGACCCCAACAAGTAGCAACCACCAAAACCTCCCCCTACAGGAATGTTGTGAATTAGATTTCCCTCAGGGCACCTAAAGTGTCTACAAGGAAAAAGAAATCCTAAACAACCAAAATATTCAACATTAGGGAAAAGCTGGACTAAATTATGCTACATCCATCCCGTGCAATATTATGCAGTGGTTTAAAAATCATGTTTTTTTCAAAGACTATTTAATTACTTAGACAAATAGTCACACTGTGTGTTAAAAATGTAAGATTGATACTCCAGAAAAAAAAAATTCTGTCCGTTTCTTATCAATTAAACGTGATTACTATATGACTCAGTAATTGTACTCTTGGGCATTTATCCCAGAGAAATGAAATCTTTTTTTTTTTTAAATATATCTTTATTGATTTCAGAGACAGGAAAGGAGATGGAGAAAGAGATATAGAAACATCAATGATGAGAGTCATTGATTGCCTGTAGCCCGCAACCTGGGCATGTGCCCTGACTGGGAATCGAACCCCGATCGCCTGGATCTTAGGTGGATGCTCAACCTCTGAGCCACGTCCAGTCCGGCGAGAAATGAAATCTTATCTTCACATAAAAAGTTGTACACAAATGTTCAAAGCAGCTTAATTCCTAATAGTCAAAAACTGGAAAACACTCAAATGTCCTTCAAGTCATTTTGGTAGAAACTGAGATAAACGGGGCCAAAAGACAATACTGTGACCCAGAGCATGCTCATCCTAAATGCTCACTTCCTCTGGCCATACAAACTGTGGTCCATCCACATCATGAAGTATTATCCAGCAATAAAGAGAAATTAATTAGTGAGACATACACATAAATCTCAAGGAAATCATGCTGACTGAAAAAAAGTCAATCCCAAAGATTGCATACCAAAAGGTATGATTCCATTTATATAACATTTTGAAAAGACAAAATTTCGATAAAGTGGAGACCAGATTAGTGGTTTCCGGGGGGCAAGGATAGGTGGGGGCATAAGAGAGGAAGGGGGTGTGATTATAAAGGGCAAAATGAGGGGTCCTTGTGGTAATAGAACTGTTTGGCACCTTGACTGTGGTGGGATAGGGGAGCCTACAACATGTGATAAAATTGTAGAGAACTAAACACACACACAGGCGTGTACAATTAAAACAGGGAAACTTAAATATTGGTGGATTATAAATGTCAGTATCTTGATTGTGATATTGTACTATCCTTTTGCAAGATGTTACCATTGGGGAAAACTTGGTAAAATGTGCATGGGATCTCTTTGTATTATTTCTTACAACTGCATGTGAATCTACAATTATCTCAAGATAAAAAGTTTAATTTTAAGAAGTGTGATACAGAACTGTAGATGCAATAATATTGCTTTATATAATATTTTTGATATAAACATACACACAAAATATTTGCAATCATTGCCTTTAGGTAGTTGTGTTGGCTTTTATGGGTGACTTCTGACTTTGTCTTTATACTTTTTAATATTTTTCAAATTTTGTACTATAAACACATACTCATTTTATTTTATAAATATAATGAATATCTTTAAACATAGCATGTTCATTTGTCATAACAATGATATCTGAGTGCCAACTCACGCAAAGATTTTATCAACTAACCCCAAAACTTTTAAATAAAGACTACTGCCAAATTAGGAATTCCCAATCCTGAGATTATACAACTCAGTTTTGGAAACAAAATACAGGACCTCACACCTGAACTCTTGTTATCAAGTTACATCATTTTTCTGGCTCCCAGCTTCCTCACCTGCAAGGTGCAGGCCTTGGATCAGAGGAAACCTGAGGTCCCTTCAGCTCTCACAGTCCACAAACCACATGCTGGGAACCTTGGTCAGTCTGTTTAGAGATCATGGGTCCCAAAGCCTGAAGGTGAACCACCTTCTCTCAGACCACTGCGACCATATCCCTTGAGGAGTAGTTCAGGTTAGAGTCAGCAGAGTCCCCACTTGCACAGGGCAGAAAACCACCAAGAATGGAATTAGACTCCAACAGTAGGAATCCATTGGCTTATGAGTCTATAAAATCATTCACTTTCACTTCTGGGACAGTTGAAGTCTCCTAGGTTAATAAGTAATATTGCCTTCACAAGCATCAAGTGGAGGGCAGCACAGGGGAATCCTACTTCTGTTGGCAAACTTCCTAAAATACAACTCCTTGCTCTGTGCAATCCTGCTTCCACCTTCTGCAATAGCTGGCCTACCTTCTCTTTCTCTCTCTCTCTCTCCACCCTGATACTCTGGAGAACCCTGACTAATACACCTTGCAAAAGGTTTCTTCACTTTCAAATGAATGCACTATTCCCTTATAGTTGCCTAATACAGGGAATATTGTGCAACAGTGGAAACAAATGAGGTAGATCGCTATGTACAAATAAAATGCATCTCCAACTCATACTATTGAGTGAAAGCAGCAATTTGCAGAGTGATACTCATCTAAATTTCTTTCCTCCAAAAAAAAAACAAAAAAAAATTATATATTCCAAGGGAAAATACTTGTAGGAATGTAAATGTTTAGCAAAGGATCTGGAAGTATTCATAGCAAACTAATAACACGTTAATTATATAAAGGTGAAAAGACCAGGGTGGGATCAAAATGTTTTCATTTTTACAATGGGCATGTGTATTAATTGAGAAATTAAAATAAATTTTATAAAGAAAATTAATCAAGAAGTTGACATATAATTTCATTTACAAGAACTGAACTTGCCAGCCCCATGGTCATGTTACTGTGGGGTGTGAGGGGGTATTTCAGAGTAGGACCTATGTTACTGTGTGGGGGGGTATTTCATAGTAGGATCTATGTTACTATGAGGGGGTATTTCAGAGTAGGGTCTATGTTACTGTGAGGGGGTATTTCAGAGTAGGACCTGTGTTACTGTGGGGGGGTATTTCAGAGTAGGGTCTATGTTACTGTGAGGGGGTATTTCAGAGTAGGGTCTATGTTACTATGAGGGGCTATTTCAGAGTAGGGTCTATGTTACTGTGAGGGGGTATTTCAGAGTAGGACCTATGTTACTGTGAGGGGGTATTTCAGAGTAGGGTCTATGTTACTGTGAGGGGGTATTTCAGAGTAGGGCCTATGTTACTGTGAGGGGGTATTTCAGAGTAGGGTCTATGTTACTGTGAGGGGGTATTTCAGAGTAGGACCTATGTTACTGTGAGGGGGTATTTCAGAGTAGGGTCTATGTTACTGTGAGGGGGTATTTCAGAGTAGGGCCTATGTTACTGTGGGGGGGTATTTCAGAGTAGGGTCTATGTTACTGTGAGGGGGTATTTCAGAGTAGGGTCTATGTTACTGTGAGGGGGTATTTCAGAGTAGGGTCTATGTTACTGTGAGGGGGTATTTCAGAGTAG